GGTTAATGTAACAATGAAGCAGAGGAGTCATGTTTATGATGATGGCGGTGGGTGAGACCATCACACTCAGGCCAGTATCCTAGGCAGGTGTGCCCCCAACCAGCAATGGCCCCCATTTACATTTGTACTGCAAAGGTGGTAATGGTTAAGTGTGACAATGGAAACTTTTGGAAAATCACTATCAAGTCCATCACTCCCTGCAACCACTTTCATCTCTTATATTTCACTTTGGCTTTTAAGCACATACTACAAATTGTTCCATAATTGCAAACCATGATGTTTATATTTCATACTTTAATGCATATTCTTTTTCTTGAGGCAAATTCTTAGTCATGAGTTTATTGGATTAGGGTATGACCAGTTATTTTTGGTGTTGAATGTCTAACCATATTGCTCACAAAAGGGTAGTAACAGTTCCGTCTGCTGCCAGCAACAAGGTATGAATGTGTTTGCCACGATAGTGGTAGTGATTTTGTTAAATTCAAAGTGTAAGATAGTATCCTTGGATTGTCTTAAAGTTTTATTTCCAGTTGACATTGAATATATTTCTATTTGTTAATTATGTTATCCTTCCATTTGTGTATAATGTCCATACCCTTTGTCCATTTGTCTAAAACAGGAGTCTGTTGTCTTGTTAAGTATGAATCTTTATATGTAATAGATATTTACTCCTTGTCATAATTTTTGCAGCCTCAGATAACATATTTGTGTTTCCTTTTTTATTTTAATCAAATGGGCATTTTTATACTTTTTATCTGTTCTAGATTGGTAATCTTGTTCTTTGAATTGTTTTTTCCTGTTGCCTCAAAAGTGGAGATTAACATGGACCTGAAATACCCAGTTCTCTGGGGATGTGAGTGTGTGGGTGCATTTGTATGTGTGTGCTCGCATACACATGTGCCCTTTAGATATCTGCATGGATATTTGCTTATTATTTAATTCCCCTCCGATTGCTACCCAGTTATCTCAACGCTATTAAATAATTCTACCTTTGCCCCTGTTTTGAGAAGTTGATGTTTTGACAAACGTGTGTCTCTTATTTGCCACATAAATGCTTTATTTTGTATTAATAAGTTCTTAGAGTTAGGACCGTTTGTGATATTGATAACTGTTTCTATGTACACAAAATAGCTTTTGGAGATACATCTCTTCTGGGATGGTACTTAGTATTTATACAAGGTTTACCTGTCTACTTTTAGGAAGCTAAGATTCTTAGTCGTGTGTGTGTGTGTGTGTGTGTGTGTGTGTGTGTGTGTGTGTGTGTATGTATGTGTGTTAAGGTAAATGGTATTGGTGTTAATTGAATGCGCCAGTTGATAGATGACTAAGTTCTGCCTTCTCTGGTATGACTTGGTTTAGCAAATAAGGTGAGATGCCTGGGACTGTGGTCACTTGGGAGTCATTTTGGGTCACTTTCAGCACTTCTCCTTTAGCAGCCTTATTGGAGCTATTTGTAAATGCAGTAACAGCTCAGTTGGTGGCTCAGGAGTGCTCAATCCTCCTTCCTTCACTTGAGGATCTGAAGCCCCCAAGCCACACCTCAGGAGCTCGGCACTGGCTTTATTCCTCCGCAGACTGAAGGCCATCGCACCCTGTGTGGGAGTGTGTGGCTTAGGCTGGGGTCCAGATAGGTCTTCCCATTACCTCGTTCAGCCTGGACTCTGGGATGCTCTGTGTGGAGACCAGGACCTGTCGGCCACTCTGAGGGTCAGGATGAGGGTCAGGACCTGACCACTGCCCAACAGAACAGCGCACAAGGGTGAGAAGCTGCCTTTTCTCCTTGTCCTTAGGTTAGGTGGGTGGCAGGGCACAGGGAGGGGGAGAAGAAAGACTAAAATGTTTCCTTGCAACAGTTTCCTCTTCTGTGGTTTAGGGCTGGGGAAATAAGTGTCATTGGGACATCCCCACCCTTCCACCTCATGGGGTTATCTGGGTTGGACAAAGATGGCACAATGCCGGTGCACATGCTCTGGGTTGTAAGTGGCAGGCATGTGGGGATATGTTGTTTGAGTGTGGCACACCATGTCATGGGTGATGAGCCCTGGACCTGGCTGGTGTAGTTCTGAGTGTTGACGTTACCAGGGAGTGAGGGCTTGGAGTTAAAATCGTGGCTGTGGATATTCTCTCGTGGACGTGAGTTTGGTCTGTGAAAGCGGAGCTGTTTCCTGATTGGTTGTGTGTCTTTGTAGGGTGGGACAGGGTGAAGCAGATGGTGAGGGAAGTCAGGTGCCCACTCCGGAGCACTGGTCTCCCTGCTGTCTGCATCCCCATGACATTCCCTGTGGCCTTTCCATGTTTCTGCACACGTAATGGGCTAGAGCTGAAGGAGACCTGGAATCTTCAGATTGAGAGTCCCAGTAATCACCACAGGACGATCTTGTTGCAAAGGCCCTGGGCAGGGGCGCAGGGATGAGTCACCAGCACCGTGGAAAGTGGATTAGCTAGTTTCTTTGTGGACCTTCCATCAAGGAGAAAGGGAGGAGTTTGGCTTTGTTTACTGCCTCAAAGCTTCTGGGAGAGGTCTTTACCATGGGTTGGGTTACAGGAGTTCAAGGGAGCTCCCTCTAGGACTCCTGCCCATTTGGGTGGTGGCCTGACCAGCCCTCTTGGGGCTCAGCCCAGCCGCACAGAGGGCTCTGCCTTCCCGGCTTCTCCAGGAACCGTGAGGAGGGAGTGTGCATTTGGCATTCTGAGGAGCAGGATTGTCTCCTGAGTACAAAGGAACAGATTTTCTGCCACAGAACATTTTCCTGCCACATATCCAGCCACATTGGCTATTCTCTGTGATAAACTTTGTTGAATTTTAGGTTAAAAAAAGTTTTTCCCCTACATTCATGAATCTAGCTATTTGTAGCCTGACTTCTCCCCACCACAAAACAAGCCAACAAACCAGTTAAACAAAACAAAAAACAAAACAAAACAACCCAATCCAGTGCTCTGGGGCTCTGTAATCTGTGAAACGCAAACAGGTGAATGTCAACTACCCTTAGTTAGTTGCCTACAGGGAGCCACCCCCCACCGCAGTCTGTGTGCTGGACCACAGCTAACAAGGCCCTCCTACCTTGCAGATCCCCGAAGGGACTGCTGCAGCCCTTGGTGCCCAAGCTGATACCTGGTCCACGGGGCATGGGTATGGCGGCATGTCAGAATCACCTGGGGAACTTGTCAAAATGCAGATTCAGGGCCCCAACCCAGCCCTCCTTATCAGAGCCTTGAGGGTGGGGCTGGAATCTGTATTTAGAATAAGGGATGCTGAAGCTGCCAGCTCGGCCCCTTGTGCCAGTGACGTTGGGGACTGATCACTGAGAGCCCCATTTTAGTCGAGGATGCTAAGGCCCTGAGAGGGCAGGGATCGAGCAGGGCAAGGTCATGTTGCAGAAGGAAGGCGCCTGTGTCTGTGCCTGAAAGACCACCTGTTCTCTTCCCCCTTCAGCCTCTCTGTGTGGCCCTGGTGGTGGTCAGGCCTGGTGTTGGGTAACAGGTAGTTGTGTTCACACTCATTCCTGGACGGGAGTTTTGTGGAAGTGCTCTGTTGATGGTGGGACAGTAAGGGGGAGGTGGCTGTCCCCTCCCTGGCTGGTTTTTGAGGTCGGACAGGCTAGGAACCCCCAGCCCTCCGGGAAGGAGGGAGTGAATGGTGATGCGAGTGTATGGTGGTGTCCAGGCTGTGCCTATCGATTCCGCACCATGGGCGGGATGAAGCAATCACAGGGTCCATTTCCAGAGGAATGTAGTGTTCATGTCCCTTCTTGGCACCACTTTCTCAGAACATTATTAACCAGCAGCCAGGCTGCCAAGGCCACCTCACAGGAAGGGGTTTTGCAAGTAGCCACTCCGTAGGAGGGCTGCAGAAGCTGGTTTCTCACTGGCGGTTGTGGGTACGTCATCTCCTCAGTGCCAGGCTGGCCCTGTTCTTGCCTCAGGCTCTGTTACACTTGGCCCCTCTCCTCGCCCTGGGAAGTGGGACATGAGCAGGGGCTGGTGTGGGAGTTGCTGCTTGAGGCACCCCTCCTTCCACACCGCCCAGCCACTGTGTTGGGGGCAGGGGACAGTGGAGGATTTAGCAGTCCACCTGGATTGCCACTGGGGTTCAAGACAGAAAGTAGTACAGATGGACCAGGCCCTCAGAACTCCCCTTTAATGGCACCCCCCTTTTGTAGGGCTCTCTGAGGGGCTTTGGGAGATGGACACAGATAAAAAACAGGGGCCCCACCCTTCACTCTGTGTAGTTCACAGGGTTGCTCCCACGTGGGTCCAGTAGTCCAAGCCTCATTACAGCCCAGGAGGCCAAAGCCAAGGCCATGGTGGTAGAGGTGGGGGTGGGGGAAAGTAGGAGAGGAAGCTGGCATGGGTTGGGAGGAATGCTGGCTGCTGTGGGCTTCCCCACCTCTGTGAGGGCTGAGCTTGGGAGGTTGTCTCAGAAAATGTTAGATGAACAAATACAGAGCCTCACTTCTTTACTGGGCACAGTTGGATCGTGTCCAAACCTGCCTGCCTGTTCATCTCTTAGTCCCAAATGTGGCTCTTTGTGGTTGTCCCCCAGTTCTTCTGTTGGCTCTGATGGATGGAAAGAATGTGGACTGCAGAATCTCTTGTCCTTGGTTCAGATCCTGGGTGCTATCATTGTCCTTGGGCAAGTCACATGACCTTTCCGAACTCCTGTTTCATCAACCATGACGTGGAAAAATCAATCCCTAATCGAGAGGTGATGCATGGGAAGGTCCCAGGCAGAATTCTTGGGACTTAGACGACATTTAAAAAAGCCTCTTTCTCCCTTCTTTCAAAATTGCACCTCTATTCTTCTGATTGTTTTTTGGAAAACTGAGTTAACCAGAGCTTCACCTTACCTATTGCTGGCCTTGGTAGTAGACCTGTACTTGGACTGGTAAGGGGCATTAGGCGGGTTATTTGGAGCTTTCTGGAACCTGTGTGTGAGCAGGTTTTGGGGAGATGTTTTAAAACTGGACTTACTACCTCACCAGTCCCACGTCTCTCCGCAGATTCTGCTTCTCAGAAGATGCACTATTATAGATACTCTAACGCCAAGGTCAGCTGCTGGTACAAGTACCTCCTTTTCAGCTACAACATCGTCTTCTGGGTAAGTGGATGAGAGTGGCCGCACTCCCTCGTGTAGTCCTCCATTCAGTCATCACGATTCTTCACATCCTTTTGATTTGTGGGCCCTTGCATGAGGCTCTGGGATAGGTGCTGGACAGGGTTGCTGAGCCCTGTCCTCATAGAACCAGCGGCAGTGCTGTGATGGGGAAGGCCAGCCAGCCCTGGGAGTCAGGAAGGCTTGGGGTTCTGGCCCAGATGCTTGTCTGTCTCCCCCCATCTCTGCCCCAGGGATGGCCCAGTGAGATGTCAGAGACAGGTACTTTGTGTGCGTTTGACTGTGGGCCAGGCCCTGCTCTAGGTTCTGGGAAGTAACAGTGGACTAGGGCAGTAAAGACCTGCCCTTCTGGTGTTGATGTTTAGCCAAGAGTGGTGTTAGCCTACTGAGCAGCAGAGAGCAGGGAGAGAGAAGCTGCTTGGCTAGCTAGTGTGGCCAGGGAAGGGCATTCTGAGGAGCTGAGACCTGAGTACTAATGAAGAGGCAGCCAAGCTCCAGGCAGGGAGAACAGCAGTTGCGAAGGCCCTGAAGCAGGAACGAGCTTGGCATGTGCAAAAGACAAAAAGAAGACCACGTGGCCGGAGCTGGGTGGGGAAAGGGGAGATGGGGACACAGGAGAGGAAAGAGGTACGCAGGACCAGGTCATAAAGGTTTATGTGCGTCTTAATAAGTAGTTGGAATTATTTTCTGCTTCTTTAGCTAACTCTTGGAAGAGTGGTGTGATCTGGTGTTGATGGTGTTGTAAGTTGGATGGTGTGATCTGGTGTTGGAGTGACTGCAGAGTCAGGGGATGGATGGTGGTACCACATTCTGAGATGGGATTTGGGGACAGAAGTGTAAGTTTGAGTTGTCTCTTAGCCTCATGGAGACGTCAGTTTCCTTTGTCAGTGACTGTCCTGGAGATGGAAGTCTTTGCCACCATCAGAGGAAGGGGTAGACCTATGAGAGCTTCAGAGATGAGCGTATTGACCGAGAAGAGGAGCGGTCTGAACGTTGAGTCCCGGGATGCTGGAGGTTGGGTTGAGGAGGAAAGCCGACTCCCAGATTGGCTGAGAGTGAGTGGCCTGAGGTAAAAGGAAAACAGGAGATCTCGTGTTGTGGAAGCCTTCCAAGGAGGAGCAGTCAGCTATGCCAAAACGAGGCGAAGTACATGAAGCCATTGGCAATGGCTTGGACAAGGGGGAGTAGTCGGGGACCTTGACTAGAGCCACTGTGTGCTCTGGGCGGGGGTGGGGGACGGAAACCCAGCAGGAGTTGCCCGAGGAGCCGACGGGAGTAAAGAAGTGAAATGGTGAATCTTGCCTGTTCTTTCCAGGACTCTTACTTGCCTTAAGGAGGAGCAGAAAAATTGGGCACTGGCTGGAGATGTTTGAGGGTTGAGAGAGAGAGATCTCATGGCATGTGTGTATTGCTGGTGGGGTTGGTCCCGGGAGAGGCAGGCATTGATTCTGTGTAGGAGGGCCAGGGATATGAGTGTGCATAGACGCTTTTAAAACCATTAAGCAAGCAGAGTTTATTAGTGTCTGCCTGGGAGCAGATGGATAAGGAGGGACAGAATGAGTGGCCATGGTGCCACATTTTGCTTCTGCAGATTTGGCATTTCCTATTTTGACTGGAAGTCTTTAAACAAGGCAGACATACTAAGACTTGTCAGCTTTTCAGCCTTGATTTTACAGCATTATCTCCTGGTGATTTATGTCAATGTGTTTGGGGGTTTTCTGTCCTAGAAAAATAAGGTAGGATTCGACACCATGACCTGTCACCCCAGGTCTTTTTCTGTGCTCAGAGAACCTTTTACCAACAACTTTGTCATTGTCCGCGAAATGGGGCATTGCTGGACATTTGATGTGGCTCCTGTGGGTCCCTCCTAATGTGAGAACTGTTCCCCATCCTTGTGATGTGTGGCTTCTCAGACTGGCATTGCTGCCTGTGTGAAGGAGAGCCCTCTGGCTTCACCCTGCATTCCCAGCCCCCATACCCAGCGAGGTGTCACCTGGGCTAGGCAGGCAGCCTGACACTCTGGACACTTGTACACCCAGCTGTCTCCCACGGGTGTGCTCGCTTGGCTTTGTGCTTCAACCTCTGACTCTCGTCTTGATTTTTGCAGCTAGAGGAAAACTCTGCCAACTGCTGCTGTGGCAGAGGGCCCTAGTGATCTCTGTGTCTTCAGAGGCTTTTCTGGACAGATTCTTTGCTCTTGGGGAGCTCTAGTAACTTGCCCAATAACACAGTCACAGCACCAAATTCCAGTATCAGAGTTCATGAATCCAGCATGGTAGAAAGCCTGCTTGGTGGTTGAAGGGTGCTACAGTCTTATCGGGGTTTTGCAGAATTGCAATGTGTGAGTCGAGAGTTAATCATTTTTCAGTTAGTGTGCACTGGGGCAGAACAGGAAGGAACAAACAGCACAGTCAGAAAGATGAGGCATGAGAGAGTGTGGCTGGGAAACGGGAGGGGGAGGCTGCTGGACCCTCCCTGCCGCGTTCCTGGCGGTGATTAGCAGTCTTCGTGTGCACAGGAGCTGCAGTGAGGAGGGAGACCCGAGAGCTGGGGTACACAGCTCCCCTGGGAAGCTCATGGTGCGGCGGGAGGGTGCTGGCTGGCTATGGGCCCTGAGGTGCCAGTCTGGACTTTATCCTGAACTAAGTGACCTTGCTTGATAAGCTTCGATGTTTTCCTCGTGGAATATTGGTCTCAGCTGCCTGTTGTCTGCCTCACAAGGTTGCTGAAAATGTATAATGTGGTATGCCAAGCCCTTATCTCTTCAGAGTTTTCTTAAATGGAGAAAATACAAAAATAGAATCATATAATGAATTCCATGTTCCCATCATCTAGCTTTAAAAATTATCACTCATAGCCCATCTTGTTTCATTTGCATCCCACCACTCCACCCTTTGGATTGTTTTGAAAGAAAGCCTAGATAGATCATTTCCCATGAAGAGTTTCTGTATTTATTTTGTTAGATGCATTTACAGTGAGCAGTGGCACAGGGGCATTGCCCGGGCTCATGTGGACACTGGGCTCAGCAGGCGAGTTTGAATATGCAGAAGGTTACCTGTGTTCCTGTGACCAATTCTTTTTTTTTTTTGAGACAGAGTCTCACTGCGTTGCCCTGGCTAGAGTGCCGTGGCGTCAGCCTAGCTCACAGCAACCTCAAACTCCTGGGCTCAAGCAATCCTACTGCCTCAGCCTCCCCAGTAGCTGGGACTACAGGCATGCGCCACCATGCCCAGCTAATTTTTTCTATATATTTTTAGTTGTCCAATTAATTTCTTTCTATTTTAGTAGAGACGGGGTCTCACTCTTGCTCAGGCTGGTTTCGAACTCCTGAGCTCAAACAATCCGCCCGCCTCGGCCTCCCAGAGAGCTAGGATTACAGGCGTGAGCCACCGCGCCCGGCCTCCTGTGACCAATTCTAGGTGCTGGGACAAACACAAGGTTTTATTTAGCAGCATCCCCTCCACCTTTAGAATTGTTTTCACGGTAACATTCTTTATAGATAAATACCTGTTGCCCTCTTAACAGTTTTTAAAGCTCTCTTTCTGACTTCAGGGCTGAGATTTCCCAGGGATCATTAGTACCTCCTTGGAGTGAGAAGCGTGGATGCCACGGATGTTGGCGGCTCTGTTCTGAACCTCATGGTTTACAGAGTGCAAATGGAACTGTGGTTTATGAGGTTCTTATCATAGGGATCTTAGGGAGAAAAATTCTTCCAGGCGACATAGCATTTTGAGACCTGTTTTTAGTACAAAATCTCACTTTGACTTTAGGGAAATGCAAATCAAAACCACAATGAGATACCACTTCACACCCATGAGGGTGGCTATTAAAAAAATAAATGGAAAATAAATATTGGTGACGATGTGGAGAAATTGGAACCCTTGTGTGCTGTTGGTGAGAATGTGCAGTCACTGTGGAAAACAGTGCAGTGGTTCCTCAGAAAGTTAAAAATAGGATTACCTTGTGATCCAACAATTCTACTTCTGGGTATATAACCAAAAGAATTGAAAACAGAATGTCGAAGAGATATTTGTACACCCACGTTCATAGCAGCATTAGTCACAATAGCCAAAAGGTGGAAACAACCCAAGTGTCCACTGGTGATAGAATGGGTGACAAAATGTAGTATGCAAATGCAGTTGAGTATCGTTGAGCCTTAGAAAGGAGGGCAGTTCTGACACGTGCTACAACATGGAGGAAACTTGAGGACTCATGCTAAGTGAAATAAGTCAGATGCAAAAAGATGAATACTGTGTGATTCCACTTATACGAGGTACCTAGAGCACTCAGAATCAGAGATAGAAAGTAGAATGTTGGCTGCCACAGGCTGGGGAAGAGGCGAATGGGGAGTTTATTGTTTAATGGGTTCAGAGTTTCAGTTTTGCAGGTTGCAAAGAGGTCTGTGGGTAGATGGTGCTAGTGGTTGCACAACACTGTGAATGTGCTTAATGCCAATGAACTGTGCACTTTAAAAGTGGTTAAAATAAGTTTTATGTGTATTTTTTTTTTTTTTT